TCTGGGTGCTGCCACCGGGGCCCCACAGAGTTGGCCGTCTGGGTGCTGCCACCGGGGCCCCACAGAGTTGGCCGTCTGGGTGGATCTGAGCCAAGTGGTGCTTCTGGGCCTCAGCAAGTAGCTGGTGCTGATTCTGGGCGGCCGCCGGTGGCAGCGTCTTCAGGCGTGAGCGCTGCTGGGTGAAGCTGCGTGGGCAGTCCAGAAAGTGACTGATGGTCCAGAGTGACTGACCTAGGGTTTCCGGCCCCTATCGATGCAGATGCCGTCCTCCAAACCATCACGGTCCCTCTCTGGCTGGGGACGTATGCCTGCCACTGCTGGCTTGACAACATGATCATTGGTTGTGACCTGTTGAGCCCATCTTGCCAGCCTCACAAAGCACAGTACCAGCTGCTTATGGCAGGGAAGTGGAAGAACTTGCCCCAGATATTTCTGGAGAATTACCGTGTGTGCCAGTCAGTCGTTTGTGTCAACCAGGCCAGGCTGTGGGGCCCAGTGATCTCATCAACAGGAACCGAGGTGTTGCTGCGATCGTGTGCTGCTGGAATGTGGTGAACAACTACAGTCGATTACACCTAAAGATCATTCTTGAGAATGTGGGTGGGCCTCATGCCATCAGCTGAAAGCTTCAAGAGCAAAAACCCAGGTTTCCCACAGAAGGAATTCTGTCTTGAGACGGCGGCGTCCACTCCCACTGGATGTCCAGCCTGAGGCCCTACGGCTGGGTGAGCCTGTCCTCTCTATCTCCTATTGGTTCTGTCTGCGGACCCTCCAGCGAGGACTTCCTGTGTTTCTTCGGAGCAGCCCTTGTGTGCTGGAGGCCTGGGCTTCTGTGTGTCCTTGGGTGCCCTGGGGTGTGTTCTGTGACCCCCCAGCTCCTCGCCTCATGGGGCTGCTGTATCAAGTGACAGTTTGTGTGCTGTGTACCATGCCTGGCACCCGTTTGAGGTGTTCGCCCGACGAGAACAGCCTAAGACCTGGAAACTGCAAACTTGTTTGAGTGGATGGGAAGTTGGTGCTATTTCAGGCTGAATGACAAGACTCCGCGATGCCACTGCTTCTCAGCCTTGGCTGCACAACAGAACCCACCAAAGAGGTTTTAAAAACGTTGGTACTTGCTGGAGGTGGTGGCGTGTGTCTGTAATTGCAGCTGCTCCAGAGGCTGAGGTGGAGGATTGCTTGAGCCCAAGAGTTTCGGTTTATTTGCTTTTTGAGAGAGTTTTGCTCTGTTGCCCAGGCTGGAGTGCAGTTCTACGATCTTGGCTCACTGCCTCAGCCTCCCAAGTAGCTGGGATTACAGACACATGCCACCATATGGGGCTGATCTTTGTATTTTTTAGGAGAGATGGGGTTTTACCATGATGGTCAGGCTGGTCTCGATCTCCTGACCTCAAGTGATCTGCCTGCCTCAGCCTCCCGAAGTGCTGGGATTACAGTGTGAACCACTACACCTGCTGAGCCCAGGTGTTTTGAATCCAGCATGGACAACAGCAAGACCCTGTCTCAACACAAAAAAACACTGGTGCCTGAGGCCCACCCCCAGAGATTCTGTTTTTGAGTTGATTTGGATGTGAATTATCTTTAAAATTTTGGATGTGATTTTTTTTTTTTTTTT